TGCCACAACTTCCGCGGTCTATGGGTGGTTTCAAAATGGCCGTGGGGGCTGGAAAATGTAAAAAAAAACCCGCATCTGTGCTTGCGTCAGCCGGCACAAGCCCCATTTAACGAGTGCCTTCAAAAATTCACAGCAACTAAACTAGACTGGTCCAAAAATAATCACTCCCCTCAGCATTGACACACATGTGGAACGAAGCTTTGGGCCAAGAGCCAACTTTTGGACCATCCTGTAAAGACGTTTTCAAGAGGTAAGAAGATGCTATATGTTATTATTGGCTAATTCTTATTCATGGTCCACCCCCATCGGCCCGGGGTGGTATTGCAAGCATGTCAGCGCACGTCATTTTGGCCACTTTTGAGCCGGGACCCGCCCCCCACCTGACAGGATCAATCCCAGAAACAAGTTATTTGGAAGTCATGCCAAAAGATGGAAGGGAACGTGCCACGTGAAAGGGAAACTCCTCAAATCTCCAGAGCCACCTCCAGCACAACCACAGGGTTCTCTATGCTGTGTATTTACAATAACTAACTCCACAGCCTACTCCGGTCAAACCAAAGGCAAATGCGCAAATGCGCAAATGAGCATTAATGACAGTTTCTCTTCTGTAGCTCCATATGAGACACAGAGCTTTTACTGCAGCCATTACGCAATATATAAAAAAGTGCACACACTCTGTTAATACTCTTGTGTATGGAATTGGCAACTTTAGGCAAGATTTGAGGGTGGTATGTGTGCCGTACAGCAATTAATTTTGGAATTGAAACAGATTCTTCTCTTTCAATTCAATACAGAATGCATTTTTAGGTGAAGACAAAAATATTTCAATAATATCGTTATCTAAGTACTTAACAGCCATAACAAATATTGTTCTAATATCCAATATTGTACAGCCCTAAGCAGCACTTTAAACCAGCACTTTAAACTTTGACCACAAAGTCACTAAAACATACCTTGTTATTGTCTTTTACTGTACAGTTCACTCTCAAGAGAGACTTAAGAACTGAGGCGACTGCCCCATTATCAACGTGGAATTACACAATGCTTTAGAGTCAAGTACACGATAAATAAACAAAAAAATACTTTCTAAAACTTAATTCAAGGCTTGGGGTCAAATTTGTATTCAAATAATCGCAAATACAAGGGAAACGTAGTGGAGGGTGAAGTGCTGGCAGCTGGAGAATGCCCACAGGTTACAGATCGTTACCAGCACTGACAAAAGTGACAGCACGTGGGTGAAGAAAATTAATCCTATTGCCAACGTGCCCTTGAGCCCCACATTTTCTGCCGTGGTTTAAGTACTTCTAATTAGTCGCTATCCGCAACAGCAGCTCACTGTCCAAAAGATTTTCTTCATTTCAACAACAACATGGTTTCTTAAAAAAGATTATAACATTGGCTAGAATGACAGTACCTTCTGCACAATTAAGGGCACCTATAAGTAAAGGGACCAGGTCATTTCAAAAAGTACATTTTGTCCACATATAGGCTGGAGGTTGTTTTAACAGTTAACGCACTGTTTACTTATGATCAAAGCTTTTAAATAACACAATGAACTCTAAGGATGCGAACGATAACTGTTGGCTACCATTACTCATTTACCAATATCGTTTTACAATAAACGTGCATCCTATTAGGGCTGCAACTAACGATTATTCTAATAATCGATTGATCTGTAGATTATTTCTTTGAATAATCGATGAATCTGGATTTGTTGTTGTTGTGGAATTTCCATCCCTTTATTCAAAAACATAGCCATGGACCAACACAAAAAACCATACAAACGTATACTATGCAGTATCTGCCAAATACTGGCTTTTTAAAAAAAAAATTATTAAGTGCACAAAAAGAGGTATTTGTTGTTTAAAGGGACCCGAGCAGTCAGAACAATAAATAAATGCCATCCATCCATTTTCTTCCCCTTAATCCATTTCTGGGTCAGGGGGTTGGCAGTCAGAGCTGCACCCAGTACACAGAGCACCAGCCCCTCACTGATCCTCCTGCAGGTGGTGAGTCCACAGGAGCTGAGATCTTTCACAAATAAATAAATAATACATTATAAAGAGTGGCACTGTCGGACACAGACGCACTCTCACAGATTGTGTATGTCTGAGTGCATACACTCTCAAGCTGTGTGTGACTGAATCATGCGTTGCGACGAGTTTCAAAGGAAAGTCAGTGGTGATGTCCATGGACGTCGCCAGACGCACGTTTTTCCCGCACGAGAGACTGGATGCATGCAGCGGAAGGACAAGATGAACATACTCGCTCCCCACACGTGCAGCAACCAATCAGAGAGAAATGGAGGACAACGCGTCGGTGAACATATGTAGCCTCCATCTACGCACGCGCATGCATTGGCGGCCTGAACACAGCTGTACAAGAATGCGCCCAACTCACGAGAGCTCAGCGACGTAGTGGGTGACGAATTCATCGATTCGTTGTGGCAGGCCTACATCCTATAGCTTCCCTAACCTGGATTTTGTGCATCTTCTTCTGTTGTCTCAGCGGTTCAAATACAAATAAACCACAGCTGATTTCACAAATTCTTTCCTGCGTCCAGATGACACTCTAAATTCTTAAAATTGTGGGATGTTGCAACCCACATTTGGTAGAGCCCATTCTGACTGGATAAATGTCCTTAAAGTCAGCTGAACTATGCATATCTAAATCTTCACGAAACATGTTATTGTAATTACAAATCAGAACATCTGATTTATGGATGAACAAGATTTCACACCTATTTGCTTTTTTTTTTTTTTTTACCAATGGAAGTTACAGCTACTCCTGTCAAATTTTATCTCAGCCAATACAGACCTTATTATGCCTCATTTTAAAGCCCTGAATCTGCAGAATTCACTTGATACAATCCAAGCAGCATTTATGGATTACTGTAATAAGTCTACACAAGATGATGCTCACGCTGGCCCAAAGCAGAGATCCTAAACCCAACTTCAGCTCTTCGAAAATACACAAGTCATGGGTTAGGGGTATCTTTACAAAGTTTAGAACCTCAAGAAATCAATATCTACTGAGAAAACCTTAATATCTACTGAAAAAAACCTTAAATCATCATTCAGGCAACTTGAGCTCCACCAATTGCAATTCAATATATTACTATCCATATATTAGCTTTAAAATCCCTCGCAAAATAAACTGCCTTAGCATCTTTGATTCAACATTAGATTTATTTTCTTATATTAAAAAATTGGCAGAATTTACTGAATTGGGAATATCATTTAGGAATGTAACAATTGAATACATTATCACAAATAATTAGTTATTGATATAATTATCAACTAAATTTGTAATTGTTTTTTTAACCTCATAGATAACAACCCAATGCGTCTTCTCTATGAAGACGTTCTACAGGGGAATCAGTTGAACTTTGTTTTGGCAAAATGTATAAAAATCTCATTCTTATTCTAAACTAATCAATTATCAAAATATTCACTAATTCCAGCCCTAATATTATCCAGGTAACACTGAACAGTTCTCAATATGCAGATTATTCCACATTTAGGAAAAACATCTTATTTACAAAACTTAAGGGAATGATAAAAATACAAAACGTTGTCCTTGTCTCTTTAAAGCTGCACTAACTGACTTTGGGATTTTGAAGCCGCGGACTCGCTGGCCTCTCTCTTTCTGCTCCCCTCCCCGCACCTACGAAGCCATCGCCCCCCACACACACCCACTGTTGGGACGGAGCTAGCGTCTCCCAATATGGATAAATACATGGACATGGATTTGCACGTGGATGGCGTGACCATAGAACGATAGAACCGGGAAGCGCGGAGGAACGGGACTTTTTTTGGATGGATGTCTCGCTGTGTAAGCAGTAACCGGTGACGAAGACACACAAATCTTCAGGTTAGCTCCACCGCTTGTTGTGCTAACTCAGCCGTCTATGCTAACGGACCTGTAGATTTCTCACGAAAGTGGGGGCTAGTGGTGCGCTGCGATTGGTCACAATCTGCGACCCGAAACACGTCTCTTCCTTGTTTCATCAAAACTCGATCTAAAATATAATGTCACGCCTGCACAAACCTGCCCTACTTTTTCTTCAAAAGGACGTATATCCCAATGCACTACATGGACATGGATAGCATTTTCGTAATGAAAACAAAAATATAGTCAGTTAGTGCAGCTTTAAAGTGTGAAAATACTAAAAGTCTATGACCAGCTTGGAACTGTGGGAGAAATAAGAATCTTAAAACAAAAAGCCCTTCTATCTCCTTAATCCCATACACACAGTTATGTCAAAACCAAAACAACGATTACAGTGCTCCAAAACCTCCTAGCCTGCTCGCTACCTCTTGTTTTTAAATACAATAGAATAAACAAAGCCAAACTTCTTTCAACAGCTCAAACTCTGCTTATGTAGTGCTGAAACCCTTAAAACAGCACACACATAAATACCGCAGCTTTGACCTGGAACGATAAACATAAAACCGTTTACACTTCTTACGAATGTTATTTCTGGTGACAGTAAGGCATCAAAATAAAACTGAGGCCAAAGGGGAGACAACATGGAGGCGACTGTCTTTGCATTCAGATGTAGTACAGTCGTTGAAATGACAAAGTCAAGTTGGGATATAAATACAGTAAAGGTGTGATGAAGCAGCGCGGGTCAAATCAAGGCCTGACGTTCTGTCTGTTTGGAAACAGCCTGACCTGGATCTTAATAATGACAATTCAAACTGTTCATTGTAGCTTTTCTGTACATATAATGTACAAAAAGACCTGACCTGTTATTATAGAAAACAGCTGCAAATTACTGACATTTGCTCAATGCGGCCTCAAATCCCCAAGAGAGATGTTCGGTGGCTACCAAGTTTTACAAAACACTATAATATCTTCCAAATATAGTCTAATTATTGTTTTGATATTGAATGCACTGACATACGTAAAAACGTATACTGAATGTCATTCTTCTATAGAAAATGTTATCCTAATATGACATAAGTTGAACTACTTCTTGACACTGGGGAACATACCTGAAAGCTTAATAAGCAGGTCAGTGGCTGTCTTGGTGCTGATGTCTGGGCTGAAGATGGAGGCCGATATAGGGATGGTGGGACTGGAGCGGACCCCCACAGTGACTCCGGGTAGATCCAAGGAGTTAGCACTGCTGCTGGGACGCTCGCGGCACAGGCTGAACGGGGACAGCACAGACAGGTCACGCTCCTGGGGCTCCTCCTTGATGTGGACATGGTTGGAGGAAGCCTCCAGAGCAGGAGAGCTTTGAGGGTGCGTGTCTGGGCGCTGTGGGGAGGCGTCGCTCCCTCTCAGCTCCCCTGGGGTGCTGTCACCCATCTGGGAGCCCTCGCCCTCAGTGTCCGTGGTCAGCTCCTCCTTCACCTTGAGGTCTGTGCGGGGGAAGTGCTGGTGGCAGCGCATGTGGAGCTTCAAGCTGAAGTGTCTGGATGAGGTAAAAGGGCACAGCTCACACTGAAACGTCTCCCCTCGGTCCTGGTGCTGGTGGACCTGCAGCACAGCACGTTCCAGATTAGAAGCTCATGTGTTGTATAATGCATCGGAAAAAAGGGAAAAAACAATTATCAGCTACTGCTGACAGACGTGCTGTCTATTGTTTGCTCAGTTACAACAATCTAAATGACCCTTCCAAATTCCTCATCAAGGAAGAACATTAAACAAAGAACTGTTTTTTTTTTAAAAGCAGTAAACAATCTATTCGTACACAGATTTATATTGTGCCTTATTTATAAATCCAGACAAGGGAAAACTTAAAGAAGCTATACCCGATTTTTTTTTAATTAGTTCATAAAAATGTTTATTACTACATACGTTGCATTAGAATCCATAATTTAATTGAAAACGTGAGCTCATTGATTCAGCTTGTGTATGAATTCAGGCCGTAAAAAGTTCTGAGTAGAAACCGCTCTCCCCCACTCACAGAACAAGGAGCGAACAGGCTGTGTCCTCTAGTGGCTATAATGCTGCTCAACACAGTAGCATGTTAGCAGAACTGGCTATAGTTCCTCTGGCTGTAACTGCATACACAGCAAAACAGGCCAAACGACGCAACAGTGTGGAAGAGAAGAGTGAACTAAGCGAAAATAAGATCAAAGAAGAAATCAAGCCCGGGTGAACATAGCTAGCTTACATTGTATCCTCTAGAGAGCGGGTGCGGGACCGCCTCGGACTACATTTGGACTCGAAACTAGCAGTAATCTTTCAGTTATATATTTTGTTAGCAGTGCGTTGCTTTTGTACCATTTCATCAGTGATTGTTGTACAGCTTACAAGTGTTTGCGCTCATGCTAATGTTTGTATATGTATCAGATTGCAAATAAAACTAGATGGCTTTGTGGGATGAGAGCGTAGCGGAAATGAGAACCCTGTTAGCGAGTTGAGGGGCTAAACATTCAAACCTTGCAGAAACGGGTATAGCTCCTTTAAACATGGAAGGATGACAATTAAACCCTGTTGATTGAGACCAATAACAGCAGAAAACGGACAATTGACCAATGTAACAAGCAGAGACATTTCCTCTATGACTTGGGGCTAATGGTGTGTCTGTCTCACCTTCATGTGGGACTTGAGATTGTCTTTGCGAGCGCAGCGGAAGGGGCACAAGGGACACTGGTGGCTTTTCAAGCCTGTGTGGATAACCATGTGTCTCTTCCAGTAGCTCTTGCGCTTGATGACCAGTCCACACACCGGACACTGGAACGGTTTGCCACCATCCTCCGGAGAGCCTTGAAGAGGAGCACAGGTCAGAGTTATGACAGGGAGAAAGCATTTGGAGAGTGTCAGAAACCTCTCATCACTTTTATAGCACATGGTACAATCTGTTATTTTTCTGAAATACACCTGTTTGCAGAGAGAGAAAAAGAAGAATTCCCTGAGATCTGCTCTGTAGTAACTCAGGGCTGTCTCAGATGTGTGTGAGCCAACTTGTGCACATCTAATAGAGGAGTTATCAGGGGAATTACCAGCTGCAAGCAATGAAACAATGGAAGTGTAGGCTCGGGCATGTTTTAGTATCTCGATTATTGTTGTTGGCTTCATATCCGGCATCCATTACCGTTTAATTGGTCTTATTAGAAAGAGGCATGATTGCATTACAAATTCTACCCGGGCCTGTCAGGATGGCTTCATAAGTATTCTAGCACCGTTCCTTGAAAAACATCTGGTAATCAGTGTTTGGTGAAATGACTGCACTCAGCCATTCATTGACCTGAGGTGTAAAACCTCGAGACTGCCTATTTGCAACAATAAAGCACCATCTGCGGCCCAACCTCTTTGAGCAGCGCCGCCATCACAATATGCAGCGACTTCCCCGAGTCGAGGAGTGGAGCGGACGAGTATAGGTGACCGAGTGTGCCGTTTTATTCAAATTGTGTGCGCGTCTGCTTCATGTGAGCGCCCCTTCCCTAGCTGCATGGAATGCAGTGGAGGTATAAACAGGGACCGCGAGGGACCACAATAAAACAACACATGACAGTCAATAATCAAGGTCACATTTTTCAGTCTGGCGACCAAACAACTACCTGTCTTTTTACTGCGCCGCTCGACCTTGACGGCTCGCGGGTTACAGCCAAGCCGCTCTTTAGCATGCAGATCACACAATATTACATCGACTGGCTCATCTGTCTGGAGTCAATTTGAACCAGCCATTTTAGATTTGGCGAGGTTGCGACACAATCCCTGAAAAGTGCCCATCCATCTCTGGGAAAACATTCTGTTCTCCCTAAAGGCTACTTAAGACAGAGACTTAGACAGAGGCGCGCTCAGAATGTGTAGAGGAGACGTCAGTGTGTGCTGCTGCCGGGGTTACACATGTCACGGTGCGTTCTCAGCTCAGTCTGACTCTGCCCGGGGCACAAAGACATGGACACAAACTGGGTTTCCAAGAACAGCAATAGAGCCAACAGTGCTGGGATTACATGAAAATACAGGAACAAATAATTCAAATACTGGGACTATTATTCAAAAGTCCATTTACTTCTGTAATTGAACTGAAATTTAACATGTGAAACTAAAATGTAACAGAAAAGTGAGATATGAAGCTTCTTTTGTTACATTATATACTGCTTTTCATGACATCCAAAGACGCACACGTCTTTGGATGTTCACTCTATACACAGTTGTGGTAGACTACTACTGTAGTGACAGCTACCTTTGGGGCAGACTGACTGAACTGACAGTTTGACACACCTGACCTATACTAGGCTATATGGGTGAACCGTCTTGCCTAAGGACACAACAACAGTTTGGCACTTTACAGCCGCAAAATCCCCAGTGTTGCATCTCTTGTTCCCAGAGGTCTCCCATCGTAGTATTGGCCAACTAACTGGCACAAAAATAAAAACAAACAAAGACTCGACATATGTCACTTTGCATGAACGGAGTTTAAATCCTATATTGGTTTTCATTGGCACAATATTCTCATCTCTATTGTTCACCTGTATGGTCAGACACCTTTTTAAGAATATAACATTGTCATTTATAGATAATGGTATAATGTCAAGGAATTCAGCAACTGGAACAGCCGTACAAGAAAAACCACTTGTTACTTTTATAAAGTATGTTGCTATAGGTCCAAAATTAATTGATTAACAAATGATCTTCAATACATTTGACAACCCTATTATCTTAGACATTTACTGATACTAAGCAGTCTACAACACCAACCAAGTTTGAACATTTTAGAATGACTGCAGATTGAAATGAAAATGTGAATTATTTTTAAATAAACAATCCAATAAAGAGAGGACTTTATTTTGGTCAAATACAACAAAAATCCCATATTCACTGATCTTTCAGGATCTAAACAACTATTTAACCAAACGAATAATCAGCCAACTAACTGATTATCAACATAAACGTTGAAGTATTTTCTTCTGGGCTCAGTCAGTATAGCTTCTTCCTAGGCTTCACTAAAAAGTTGTAGGAAATTCGCATTCAGTACTGTACGTGCTTGGTTATAAAATCAAATGTTATTTGACTCTGCAGCCTTTACAGAGCTCTCAGCTTATGTAAATTATGTGGAATAGACAACATATTCACAAAAGGCGATAAAACTTTAATGCATCCAACAATGTGTGTGATCGTTCCATTTTCAACATAGCACAGACTACATTTGTGCAGGGGTCAAATATCTGCTCACACACTTCCAGAGCATTTGTGCAAACAGGCTGAGTGTGTAGGAGCGAAGCAGAGTGTGGCTCCGCATCTGTATCCAGTCAGCGGAAAGTATGATGTGTTTGGCCTTAAGTCTGCGGCGCTGATCAGTGGACTGGGCCTGGGCTGGCAGGGGTCGGAGCCAGGAGGAGGCTGCCGAGATGGATATGGACTCCAGGGCTCCCCGCTGAGCTGAGCGCACACTGACAGCCCCCTTTTGGCTGCGCGTACGTCCCGGCACAAACGAGCTGGTCTGGGAAGGCAGCGAGGTCTCAGGCGGAACCCCCTGTGGAGCCTGCAGACCATTTCCCAGACTACAAGGCCAGCCAGGGCTGTTTTCTCTCAGCTGTGCCTCTCAATGCTGGGCTGACAGTTAAGCTGATGCTACACTACTTTCACTTCAGTGCCGCTGAGGTGAGAAAGAAGCCATTACAAACTGGAGAAAACATGTCATGAATGTTCACTTTGTCTGTGACTAGTAAATCTGCCCTTATTTCTGTAATATAAGCAAACTAACAATTTGATTTGAATACAATAATCAGACACACACCGACCCCATTTTAAACCCCCAAGGTTGTGGAAAGTAAATGAACGGAATGTATATGGTATTACCTGCTTGGCTGATGGGCTTGGCCCTACCCTTTGGAGTGGAGGGGAGCAGCAGCTCTAGACCTGGAGTGGGTGTAGATGTGGGTGTAGGGGTCTTCTGGTTCTTCTCCAGCAGGGGTTTGACATCCTCTTGGAGGACTGTGGACGTGCTTAAGGGAGAGCCCTCCTTCTTCTCTGCCAGCAGGTTTCCTGCTGCTCTCGCTGCCACCTCTTTGAGCAGGGCAGCAGAGGAGGTCATGGACACAAGAGAAAGAAAGGAGCTGGCTGGGGACTGATGGTCTGAGGCAGCACTGGTCGTAGAGGCCTGGTTTCGCTCACTAACTTTCTTGGAAAGTGCAGCGAGAGTGGAGCTGGCCGACTGAGGGCTGAAGGGAGAGTTGAAGGCATCGAAGCGTACCATGTCATCTGTTCTCCCTGTGGTCCCCAGAGCAGGCACCACAGAAGAGGTGGATGAAGAAGAGGAGGAGGTGGAGGAGGCCACAGCGCTCTTGTCCTGCAGCACAGCGTTGGCTGCTGCTTTGAGTTTCTGTATGGCAGAGTCCGGAGACAGGCTGGAGCCACAGGGCGTGGAGCAGCTGGCTGGGGGCCACTTATCGGTGACCCCGGCCCAAACAAAGCCACTTCCATTGCTGGAGGAGTTAAAAGGGTCCAAGGGCTCCTGCTTGATGTTGGTAACTGAGGGTGCCAAGGAGGCTGGCGATGCTGAGCCACTGTTGTTATTTGCAAGTTTTCGGGCAAGAGCACTTAGTTGTTGAGCGTGGTGTGAGGATGGAGACAGGGTGAGAGGAGGGGCCAAGCCAATTGGGGGAGACTCTCCTCGAGAGGAGCGTCCCAGTAGGTCACTAGAGTCCAATTTAAGTGATCCCGCCTCTAGGAGGCGCCGCAGGTTACTGCTGAGAGGTTTGCCCAGGGCTCGAGATGCGGCCTCTCCATACAGTGACGACACCACTGATGACAAAGTGTCCTGTGCTGAGAAGACGCCTCCGTCCAGCCCCAGCAGCTCCAGAGAGGCACGGTGGACGGGTGTGGAGCCACCCAGAGAGCTGTCCGCTCCGCAGGTTTCATGATCTGTGGAGCCGGCACTGGCTGCATGGCCCTCCTCTGGAGAGGAGCCTCGGGTGCACAGCAACTCATCCTGAGTGTCTCCATACGATGACTCAGAGCGGGTATCAGAGGCATTCCCAAACCAGCCCTCCTCCTCCACAGGACCAGTGTCCGGCCCTCCTTCATGACCGTCCAATTCTGCAATCAAAACACAAATAATTGTTTATAATGTGGACTGAGTGTGAGCTCTTTCTAAGAGCTTTAATGCATAGGACAACAGGGCTTATCTTTTTTCGTTTTTCTTTCTTATTGAAAGTGACAGAAGTGTACAGAGTGCTTCCATCTTGCAGTATTCTTTTTTAAATATAATTTTTTACCATCCTTGGGCTGAACGTGCCTAGTAAAGAGGTTACCATGACAACGGGTCCTTCTGGGAGGCTAGACAGCAAAGATTAGGGTAATGGAGGTTACAGAACTAGATTAATATTCATGAGCCTGCGGATACCACCAGGGAGCCAATAAGGATAGGGTTAAGGTCACCAAGGGTCATTAATATACACTTCCAGTATCAATATTCATAAGCAAAACATTACAGCTTGCCAGACAAGGGCGAACAAAGAAAAGTGAATATTCTCGATACATATTAACCAACTTCCATACACTATTTCAAAAGGACCAACACTGGGCCAAGCAAAAACAGAATTTCTCCTCCCCATCTTTCCTTTTCTCCTTAGCTAGAGTACACAACCAGTCAAAAGGTTAAAAATCTGAAAACTGAGGACATGTATACAAGTGTCAGAAAACAAAGTTGCATTACATTTCAACTATCTGCACGTGTACACAATATACTGTACGTGGTGCCCATGATGCACATGCACCACCTTTGTGACCCTGACAGAGGCCTGGTGGGTCGCACTCTGTTAACAGGCCATGGCTGAGTGGTTGCTAAGCAACCTGGCCCCAGCAACCTGTTGGGATCATTAGAGTTATCTGACATCTGGCCAGCGTGCTTCAGCGGAGTCCACCGAGGTGACCACAACCACTACTCAGTATGAGTGCTGCTGCTGTAGCAGATCCCACACACACGGTACACACAGCTTCAGTCTGATCAGAGGACCTAAAGCCACTGACATAAGTCACAACCTTGTACCTAAGAGAGAGATGAGCTGACAGGAAAATATAATATTAGATAATTTACAGGTACAGCTTGCCTACCCTTGCTGAGGCCCCCAAACTCATTCACTATAGTAGTAGAAGCAAACAAACAGAAATGGACTTGTATTATGAGTCAATGGCCAAGACCCCACTGGAACCTTAATAGTCAACATACACAGGTATAACATGTGGCAGCACTCTCACATAAATTAATGTATATTTCTGCCATGTTGTGCTAGCTGCTTTGGGACCCGAGCAAGGTTAAGAGGCCAAAGTATAAAGGGGAGGGGTCAGCCTGAGTCATGCAGGGCTGGGCAGGGCTTGACCTATTTCCATGTGACATGTGCACAGCAAGCACCACTAATGGACCTAATGTGGTTAGAGGGAAATCACTGCATTTCTAACCCAAGGTCTCATGTTTGAGGGATAACTCTGCTGTATTTTATGTTTAGTACTAAACTCACAGCAGCACTCACTGATCCTATGTCACAATGACATGTCTCGAGGTGAAGATCTTCAGGCTAGACTAAGAAAGACACTCATACATGAGTGGTGCTTAACACAAGCTCACGTGAGAGCAAGGAAGACAGTTCATAGAATAGTCATTCCTCGACGGTATGATCCTGACACTCTTTATGCTCTTGCAGTCCCCTCTCTGCTTCCCCTGATGGAGGCATGCACACCCAGCGGCTGCCACTGAGGGGAAAGCATTTAGCTGTGTAATGGCCAGGATGACTTGCATGTTGAGACAAACAGCTGCAGGGTGCTCAGCAGTCTGGATCTGTTATCACTCACACACCAGTGATCCAATGGTGCAGTATTTTTCTCTGGGAGACAAAGATGTATAGTGTCACAATGCACAAGTTAAAGTAATGGAAGTATGTAAGGCTGATTTCAAAATTGCTACAGGACCAACTCAAAACAATGGCACAGTGAGATGCCAAATGCGGACAGACTCATTCCCAAATTTAAACTCTGTATTCCATCTGGTTGGTATTACATTCAAACTACTGAGGAGGACACCAGAGTACAAATTAAATGTTGTTCAAAATGTTACTATGATTACATCTAAACCAGAGTTCCTGTTCTTTTACCTGGTAAAACTCTGATCTGCTGCAGGCGCTGATATTTCTGTAATGAGGATTAAACTACCAGGATTTCACCAAAGAAACTGGCAACCCAACTGAGAAGCTATTCTGCTTTCTGATTGAATAATCTATCAGAAAACCCAAATCAAATGTTAACAGCATCTGTGAAGGATACATCAGCATCACAACCTCATCAGAAAAATACCACATTTGATAGTGAGCAAATGAACATATTTCCTTCAAGGTATTACATGTAGTTATACAAAAACAATCCATGTGACCATCTGTGAGCATGATACAATTTTAGAATTAGAATTTTGATAATGATTATTTTTGAGTTCGTTTGAGTCAAGTAGTTTTAGTCAGAACCGTTAAAACAACAATTCCTTTCTGAGGTACCTAACATTTAAACGTTCAAGTATTCAATTATACAATCTCATTCCTTGCTCTCAAGACTGTTTGGTTCATTGGTTTTCAATTGCTTGTATTTATTGCCTTTAGATCAGTTTTATTAAACAAAAAAGTTAGCACTCATCCAAATAGCTCTTAGCCCAAAATTTCAAATAGTGACTCACACAGCTAAAACAGCATCCGTCGTCAGAAAACGTTACTTTGACAAGACTCTTTCAAACAATGTTATTTTTTAAAGAAAGCGTTAGGTACCCCAGCTTTAATTTAATACATTGAGATAGTGTTTACTAAGTTAGTAGTAGCTGCACATGTTTTAGTAAACTTGACATTAAATCGGTGCAAAGAGAATGTCTGGTCTAAACGTACAAGTTGACACACAAATAAATGGTCACTAAATTCAGGGCATTATTTTTAGCCTGTTACTGAGAAGATTATAATAAACAATCATATTCATACTTGTAAGGCTGTGGATTCTATAGCATACAGTGCCAGCTTTGTAGCTTTAATCAAAACCTGCAAGGGATGCTAAAAATAGTCACAAGGCAGTAGTAAGAAGAATTTACTAGACCCAGCGTTTGCTTGAACGTGCTGTCAAAAAATCTCCTATTTGTGAACTTGGCCCCGGCATTTGGCCTTTTCCTGCATAGACTGACTTATGGCCGTGCTAAATCTGAAAGCAGATCCAGATTTTGGCTAACGTCATCAGAGGCTGAGCGGAGCAAGTTAGAGAGAGGAAAGGCGGTAAAGGGACCGGAGTAAAGGTAGGTCAGAAGGCCACTCGGCACATGACTCGTGCTGGGCTGCTGACTCCCATACCCTCCCCTTTCCGCCTCACTCTCCAAACGCACACACAAAGCTATTCTGTGACTTAGCCAGGCATGAAAATTGGCCTCGCTAACCCCAGGCCTGAGCAGGGCGGGGGTGGAGGGGTAAGAGGAGAGAGTGAAGGAAGGAAGGGACACATAGAAGGATGGTTCGGAGCGGCGGGCGGGCGGGTGGAGGGGGGGATTTGGGTCGGCGGGAAAAAGGAGAGGAAGCCATTAGCCGATTAAGGCAGGGACGGAGGTGCATCAATACTGCGCCGATGTCAAAGGGAGAGTCATGGTCATGAGCTAATATAGCAATGAGAGAGAGGAAGAGGAGGGAGCGCACGCCAAGTAGAGAGCGCCCGTGCAGGTCAGACAATCACTAAAACAAGCTGATCGTCCAGCGTGCAAAAGTAGAAAAAAAGAAGGGGATGTCACCAACTCCAGCCATCAGGGGGATGATTAGTGCGCTGCGTGTCTTGCTCGGGCTGCACGGAGCGGTGTGCGTCTAGTACAGGCCCAGGTTAAGGAGGTAGGCCGCGAGGTGAGGAGCAGGGAAAGGAGGCAAGAGAGAGAGTGGATGTCATGCAAAAAAAGAGGTAGTAATTAAGTGTCCAGCCGAGTTCTGGTGAGGGTTGCCACAGCCGCGGGCTATGCTAATGAGCACGCCCGACAGTCAGGGTTGGCTTATTAGTTCACGTCGGACAATATGGTGGGAGCGACGCTGGGCCGACGCGCTCACGTCTCTACAAATGACTAACTGTACTCTCGAGGAGGCAGGTAATTCCATTAATAGGGAGGCACTGGATTGGGATCTCTTTTCCATAATCTTCTTCACACCCACGCACACTTATTTCTTCCCCGCGCTGTCCCATCCCCTCCTGCGTCTGTCCATCGAACTGAATGCAGCAATGAACAATAAAATGAAATAGAACACAGATGCTCTGAATATATCCAGCTGGACAAGTGGGAGCGAGCCAACGTGAACTCTCAACACACGCGTTCATGCCACCATCAGTCTGGCACATTGCTGTCATTCTTGAGGTTTGTGTCAAGTTGACCACGAGTTAATTTTAAATACAAAGTTAATAAAACATGACAGTCCGCGTAACAATGGACATGTGTGAGTACCATGGCACCGTATTGATCCCAGTAGCTCTCATCTCCAGTACATTGAGCAGAGAATGAGAAAATGTCTCGATGAGCCGGTTCAAAACATTGCTCCTGGAGTCCTAAAAACCAGAGTGATTTCTTGAGACTGTTCATACAAGACCAGAATTTTACTACTGGATATTACCTGTGCTCTTGATTTTCAAGCACCATTCCAGGAAACACTATCGGCAATGCAGGTAGTTCCCTCTGTGGAGATGTCCAATTGAGTTACTAATACATTTAGTTCTACACAAACTGTTAATGTATAGTACTTTACAGAACTCCTTGAAGTGCACAGAATAAGCCTTTGATTATAAGTGAAAAACATGGTCAACATTGCCAAAGTAAGGTTTATCGAAGTTACTGCGTCAAAAACCAACATATCATCGAATGAAAATAGAACACTGGAGTTGCAGCGTTAGTTGGTCATCGATTCACACAACATGGACATTTGTTTCACTGTTCTACACATTGTAATATCACAAAATACTTAAAGGAGCTATACCAACTCACTCACAGGCTTCTTTTTTTGAGAAACCCTTCTACTCTCCTCTACGCTCTCCTCCCACGAAGCCCTCTAGTTTTA